TAATGTAAATAAATTCTAAATTCTCAAGTCTTTAATAATTTTTTAGTAATTTTTATTAGTTTTCATCTATCAATTAATATTCATCTAAGTACAATTTATTATTTGCAAATGCAAATTCATCCACAAATGAGAACTCATCCACATCCTATGTTCATCTAATTCAAAATTTCATCCAATTTAACTTAACCTCATCCACTTCAAATCATTCTATAATTTCATCCAATTCAATGACCTAAATTCATCCACATATGTTGAACATGTACTAAGAATAATCCGATTGACAATCAAAAACCAATATTGGAATAATTCAAGCACAATTCACTTCCTTAAGAAGGATACGATTTTCATGAGAATTGTTAGCTCTTAGCTGCAACTACTTTCAAAACTTGAGGTAGTGTAGTTGTTGACTAATTATTGATGCTACAACAATAATTTTTGTGAAGAACCGCAGCTTAAGAACTCCATATATTTAGTCTGTCTTCCTCCCTATGTCTTCTCCACCTGCTAACTTCTGCAACCTTTTGCTGGAATCTTCTGTTTTCACCCGATGATTTAGGCAATGAAGTCAAAGGCCTTCCAACCATGAGGCAGCCAACACTACGTCGACGATTGCACAATTGAAGTTAAACTTTACTTCAACGCTCCTTCCGTATGAACCGTAGCAAAATGACAAGGGAAAGAAGAGTTGTTGACAAGAACTCTTGCAACCTTGAAGGAATTGGCCTCCTCTACAAGTGGTCTGCATACTAGTCGAAGATGGAATGGTGCAGGAGTCGGATTGTTTCTCTTGTGATGCATTTGTACCTCGAGCAAAAACACGGACAACCATAGATGGTTCTCACATCCTAAGATGTACTAATTCAGGAAGATTTGACATTTCCGCAATAGCAATAAAGATTGTTGTTGAAGATGATAAACATGTAGCATTGAACTTATAGTTTGTTCTGGTCCCTAAAGATTCAAATCCAATCAGCGTCAAGATATGCAACGATGAAAAAAATGATTCTTTTCCTGTGAGGAAGGAACCACTAGTGAGCTCACATGGACTATATTGAAAACAAACTCAATAGCAATTTCTAGTGCAAGAGGGTACTAGGCCTTCAAAAGTTCCGCACTTTATCACATTAGAACAACATGGTGGATCTGACACCACATTCGATCCCTAAACTCCGGAATCTGCATTTTTAGATGCCCAATATCAAGCATTGAATGAGAGATAGAATTCTCTAAATCAGTTTAGACTACCAGACAATACCGATAACAGTCCAAACTTTTTCTTGTTGTTTAATTCTCTGCTTGGTGAGTCAAGCACGGCCAATCCACACCGCACTGCCCGCACACACAACTAAAGAGCCGCAACACTCGCCCTTTGAGGTTGATGGAGATAACAAGGATAAAGATAAACCAAGAATTGATACAGGAATCAGCAGCCAGATAGCAAAATTAACGCGATCAGCAGGAGCCAATCAACGAAAGTTCTAATGCCCCCAAACAACACGGTTAGAAAAAAAAATCTAGACAAGGTAATTAATTGCTGAAGCTTGCAGACTCCCCGCCATCCCAATCCTTATCTTGAAGGGTCACAAAAAATTCCACCTCCAGCACCGCGAGGAGGAAGAAAATAGCACCAAGCACAGCACACCGTAACACCACCAAAACTAAAACAAAACGAAAAGCCGAGGAGCAAACCGCTGCAATGCAGATAGTTAAAAGCCTCCGCACAACGCTTTTCCAGCCGCAACACTCTCCAAAAAGATAGATTGGAGTTGAATCCTCCAAAAAAACAAGAGTGCGACCAGCTGCACACACTGCTCTTGACCACAATTGCTCCACAGTAACTAGCCAATACCCAAGGAATCCAGACCTTCCAGCAGCCACCGCAATGTCGTCGTTGATGACAACAAAGTTCAAAGGAAGATGAACGAAAAAACAAAAAACAAAAAAACACACATCGCACACCCACGGTGCCACGGAGCCTCCACTGCCACTCGCACTAGCACCCTAGCAGCCATTCCACGCCGCCGTTGCTAACCAGATTAGAAATGGAAGAACATTCAACTGGAGTTCCTTGCTCCTAGCCGCAAACAAAACAAAGAAAGACAAGACCGCAACCCAGCAACACAAAAATAAGACCTGGACGCGCCGCTGCAACTCAGCAACATAACAGCAACCCAAACATACAACACCGCACAATGTAGAGTCCCACAATTCCAAGAGGAAAAAAAATAAATAAAACAAAACAAAACAAAACAAACAAACAGCTCTTGACATGTGTCAACGGCCAGCAACCCCAGTAAGTCGGACCTCACCAATGCCTTATACAAAGCAAAAAAAAGAGCTTGTTGTTAATAAGGATTGTACATATATTTTGAAGAACCTAAGCACGTTTTTTCAAAGAAACAATGCAACTACAACATACATGAAGAGCATGCTTATCAATGAAGATAATGTGTTGGAAAATAAATTTGTTTGGTTACAAAATGAATCATGGGATTGGAATCTTATGCAACACCTAATGAAGGCCCTATTCTCTCTTCAAAACCCTCACTTTATTTTATAATAGATGCCTTTTTAGGAATTAAAAATTACAAAGCCTATGCCTTGCTAAAATCAAGATCCTTCACTTATTTTTTAGATGAAGACTTTGTAAAAATATAATATATCCCTAATAAAAATAATTAAGTTAATGCATGATAATTATCTTTTAACTTTTGGATATTTTATTAATGGAAGTATCTTTATAAAAGTAGCAAAAAATTGTCATAATAGCTTAGTAATATTTAATATTATTAATTCTTTTATTTTTAACCTTGTCAATTTAAATTTATCATGGCTAAAAAAATATGATCTTTGATTAGATTGGATTTTTTGTAAACTAAATTTTTCCTATAGTATAATAAAGTTTTTTTTTCTTAACAACTAAAAACTCATGAATCTAATACAATCAAACTCTTATTTATAGGTGCAAAAACTTTCATGCAAGCTAAAAAAAAGGAGTTTTATCATTTGATATTTATGCCACATTTATTTTTAATAGTGAAAATATTATAAGTCACATTCTAAGTGAATACAAAGCTTATTAAGACATTTTTCAAAAAAAAATATAAATATTCTTCTAAAATGTTGTTCTTATGATTATAAATAGAGTTAGATAGAAGTAAAAATAATTAAATTTGATATTATAATGTGAAAAAGCTCCTCAGAAGCTTTATAAAGGCCAATTTAACTACACAAGTATTTGTAGATAATTGATAGGTTGAAAACCTGGCTAATAAATTGTTCGTGTGGTGAATGTATTAGAAACTTATCTTGTAAGTTAGACACATATACCACAAGTTGGATATGTACCAAATGATCTATAGAATGTTGCCACATAGTTTTTTAATAAGAAATTATATATAGAAGAAAAAATAAAGTCTTTCTAATTCTTATCAATATCTTTCTTGTATTTGTGTCTAAATTCAAGAGCATCTAGTTTCGTTGTATTTGGCAACAGCTATTCTAGTTTATATCTTATATCTATCTTTGATTTTTTTTACTTTCTCTCATTGAATGTTATAAAAGTTTTTTTTTTTTTTTTTTTTTTTTTTTAAAAAAATTTAGTTATCATTTATATCCTTGATATCTTTTTTAATGTATGTGAAGATTTGAATTCAAATATTTTAATTAAAAATACTATCAAAATAAAAAATCTAATATATTTAAATAAGTTTTATTATCAATAATTTCATATATAATCAAATAGTATTTTAAAAGATTTTGGAAGTAATGCTTGATATATATATATATATATATATATCATGTGATATCATTGTCTACTACAAATCTAAATTAAAATTTTGATTGTGACATATTCACACATGTGACACTATATGTTATTATATAATAAAGATATTATCTATAAAATTTGTATCTCTAATCCAAATAAAATTCCAAGTAAAATTGAATGTATGAATTTGATTTTTACTTACTTTTTGAAGTTTTTTCAATGTATTGTTTTAAACTATAAAAAATAAATTTATAATAACCAAAGTGCTTAATATTTTTTATTTTATCATTCTCAACTTGTGGTGAAATCTTATTGACCCTTTATCATTTTGTAAGAGATTTTGGATAGATTTCTAATATTTTTTCATATAATAATAATAAATAAAAAAAACATTATGGATCTTATTCCAAATGAATAAGGGCATGACATGAAATTCCCACATTTGATTTGATTTTATTTTTAAACTCAACTTATATCCACACATGCACTTTTATTTCATCTTCTGTTGTTTCCATATGGTAGCATACAATGCCAAACAACAATAGCACACAATTTATGCATCTCAATTTGTCAAAGTATTAAAAATTACATTATAGTATAAAGATTGGTATTTGTCTCAATTATTTATAAACCTAATCTGTTACAACTTTTCTTACACTTGAAATCTTTCATGCAACCTTTCACCGATTCACTTATCTTTGAAAACAAAATGAAGAGACACTCCACAATGACTTTTCTCATCCCACACAAGCTCAACAATGACCATATATATATATATATAGTCGTTGTTGGTATGTTTGTTTGAAGACATTACACATCTTGAATAGTACATCAAAATCTAATGGTGGAGGGTTAGATTGTGTGCATGAAATTGTCTAATATATAAAAATTTAAGTAAATAAAGGGAAAAGGGCACAAAGGGAGGTTGGGTTCGGTTTAAAAAGAAAGACCAGGATCGAAGGGTGGGGCCATTTCTGACACACTCAATAAAAAAATAACATTGTGGTGGTGGCAGCCTTTCGAAAGGAGCTGAAGGGACACACCTGGGTGACATCGAGAGGCGGGCTCTTTTTTGCCTCCCTTACTGACTTATTCATCCACCCACCAATCCATTCCCTCCACATAGTAACATCCTCATTCATCCGCACACGCACACACACAACATACTCATTAATTCACTCATCCATCCGGTGCGCTGGCGTACCCAAGTAGCAGCAGCAGCATCGCTGGAGTCTTGGGCTTCTCTCGGACCAGGCTCGTCCTCTTCCCAGCATTCGCATTCATGTGTGTGCTCTCTCTCTCACGGCGAGACCCGCGTTGTTGTTTGCATTCGCGCATTGTCTCCATTGCAATCGCACACTCCCTGGTCCCTCATCCATGTCCACGCTGGGAAGCAATCGCACTACATCAATCACCTCCCACAGGCCAGTCCTGACTTCGTGTTTTTTGGGTGTAAAAGCTCGCGAGGAGCCGAGAGAAAGAGGAGACAGAATAGAGATATATTGTGTGTGATAGAGTTGTTTGTTTGGAAGAGAACTGTGTGACGTGACCTTGAAGGAGAAGCTGTGGGTTTAATCGTCATTGAAGGTTGCAAGCGTGAAGGAGCAGCGGGGAGAGATTTGGTCTGGGGTTTCGGCGGAGGTTAGTTCCGGAGGTGAAGGGGAATCGTGATCGTCATGGGGTGGGAGTGGTGGGGGAGGTTAGATCACGCGGTGGGGCTCTGAGTGGAAGGGCTCCTTGGGTTCGTTGTGTGCCCTACGAGTGAGTTGGAAGTGGGTATTTTTTACAGCGGGGAGCGTTTGGAGTGGGTGGAGCTATGGAAGAGGGGAGACCAGTGACATTGCACGTGTACGATGTCACGAATAGCGGGAATGTGCGGACGAACAACGCCATCATGAATCTGAATAAGATTATGCGCGGTGGGATTGGTTTAGGTGGCATCTTTCATGGAGCTGTGGAGGTTAGCCTTTTTCTGTGATCAGTCCTATTGTTGAGTTGGGTGAGGTGCTTTGTGCACCCTGATATGCGGTTTCGCAAGGACCGAGTTTTATTTTATTTTATTTTTATTTTTTTATAATGTATGTTCGTTTTTTGTTTAGTTTTCGGCAATCTAGAAGGAGTCAGGATCTTGACAGGTACAGTACTACCCAGTTCATCAATATTTTTTCTTTTCTTGTGAGGAAATATGCTGCGCTGTGCTTGGTATGAGCATGTTAAGAAGCCATAAGTCCCCGAGTAGTAGTGTTTTAATCTGTGGCTTTGTTTACTTGTGGAGTCAAGTGGAGAAGTTTCTTAACACTGTGTACGTTGAATTCTCTAAGAAATAACTCCTGTACCAAGCCAGATGCTCTAATCGAGCTTGGAGTGCTCTTGGATGATATGTTTGTCCAAGTTCTCACCAAAATGACTGAAAGCAGGAAGTTGTCATTGAATTGGGTCATGTTGAAGGCAGTCTGGTGGTGGAGGCATGCTTTGTTGTCCTGATTTTGCGCTTAGTCGAGCGAAAGATTGAGAAACTTAGAGGAGTTTTAGTCGTATGTATTACGAGAGTGTCGGTGGCATGTGCAATCATGGAGTTACCTTCGTGGATTCGAACGGGATGTTTTTTTCTTTGATATATGTAGGTGGTATGGTGTTGATTCTGTATAATATTCTGAGATGACTGAGTTTCCTGTATTTGCTGATAGGTTGATGGAAAGGAATGGTCGTTTGGTTATTGTGAGATTGGGAGTGGAGTCTTCAGCTGTCTTCCAACGAAAAACCAAATGTACACGTACAGAGAGAGCGTTCCATTGGGAAAGACAAGAAAGACAAGGGCTGAGGTACAAAGAGTTTTGGATGAGCTTTCGCGAGATTGGCCTGGCAATGGCTACGATCTTCTTGCTCGTAATTGCAATCATTTTTGCGAAACCTTTTGTGCTAAAATTGGAGTTGATAAATTGCCGCGTAAGTAACATCACTCCTGGTGATCATATACTTTTTTTTTCCAAACTTGTGAAGCACATTTGGCCTCTTGTAAGTAGCGCAACAGGGATAGCAACGCTTATTTTCATTATCCGCAAATATTAGTTTGAATGCATCGAACTTTATTGATCGCTTCACTGATTGATTGGAAGTTTGTTCACAGCTTGGGTAAACAGATTTGCAAATGCTGGAGATGCCGCCATTGAAGCTGCCGAGAAAACTATGGAAGGGGTATGATTTTTTCAAACTTTATTAGATCCTAATTTCAGCTCTGTATGGTTATCGATTGATTGTCTTAGAAGTTGGTATCGTCAGTACAAATGTGCAATTATTTATTGATTAATTTTGATGGATAGTTTTATTTGTTTCTAACTAACTAATCTAAGTATTTTTGGAGTATTGTCACGTCTGTGTTGGTGAGAGTTTTAGGTGTGCTGGAATTTCGTTTCGAGTTAAGTCATGTAGTCACGATCTCGGTACATCTTTGTAACTTGCAGTTGCGACAAGCAAAAATGGAGGTGATGTCAGTGACGAAGAATGCTATGCGCTTTATGTTTGGATCTGGCTCACCATCGTCGGAAGATTCTGGTAATAATTCGGGTCGACGTCTCTCCTTCAATATGGGAAGCCCATCAAGGTTATTGTCTAGAGGTTCACCCTCATCATCGCAGAATGGACGCAGTTGTCGTCATAGTAGCCAATCAAGCGATTCCACAGAGCAGCGCCCTATTTTACTTCCTTGGAAAGAACGTGCACTATCATCCTCCTCCTTAGACAGCCTTAGTCAGACCCCTCCAAGACCTCTAGACTCTCCATCCAATTAATTTGTTCAGTTGTCTGGGTGTTCCTATCTCCAACTTCAGTAGCCATACAGCTTAGCTCTGCAATGCATCATGTCTATCACGCCTTTAGACCCAAGGAAGATATTGATAGGCGAACGGACTCTGAGCCAAGGCCCAGATCTTTTGGTAGTTTTATCTGTCATCGCTAGCTGCCTTCAAGGCGTTGAAATTTCCTTAGAGAGGTTCAATTTTTGAGGTTCAAAGTGCCCGCTGTAGTATACTTCGAGTATCTTTGTGAGCATATTTTGGGTCTTGCTATGAAGTAGAGGGTAGTTTCCAGGAGAAAACTCTGTCCTATCTCGCTTTCAACTTTGCAAGGTCCCGCTGATAGGGTCATAAAATGGTTATTGCATAGGTCCAAGTCCATGTAGATTTATTCCAGAATTGTTTTTGTTGTTCGCTAGGGAATGCAGTGTGTGTATTGCAGGTGGCGTGTGAATACCACGTGTCTTTGCCACTATCTTGTCCGAATCAACTAGTTACACTGCTCTAGGACTGCGGCTCACAGTGTTTTGTGATCATGTACTGTACTTAGTACCCTCTGCTTTTATCGTCGATTGGATGGGAAGTTGAACCTCGTTGGAAAATGTGACGATTATTGGAAATCAGAAATTAAAATGTAGTTCTCGATCTTATGAACTCTGTATGTGCATATTGCTCCCTCTATTCAGGTTTATTAATCCATGTTATCTACTTCTGTAAAAGAAACCTGAACTTCGACAGTGCATAGTGCAAATGTTTGTTATAGCAAAAGCCATGGAAACCCCGACGAAGGCAAAATCTTTGTTACCACTCATTCACTACCCCCTGAATGTAAGACAGTAAAATGTCTTTTCCACCTGAGATAAGTAAAGGAGTCCCATTGCACACAGAATGCTAGACTATCGACATCCAAACTTCAAAATTCATAAAGACGATCGATCTTTAATTGAAGATTAATCTCTTCGGAAAGTACATACTGCAACACGGATTGCACAATAACATAGAACAACTGAGCCACCCCCCTTTACCCCGAATAAAATAAAATTCTGAACCCTAGCAATTCTATACGCTGTTAATAGCTGCAGCTCCACCAACAGCTGAAGGAATGAACACCCTAATCAGCTCAACTTCGCTAATTATTAACCTGCTGTCTCACCCGTCTCCCACATAAGCAATATGTAAGCGAAACCGGAAACTACGATGCTTCCGATGGCGTTTGAGCAAATTCGAGAAAATTTAAGAAAAGAAAATTGGATCCGAGTACTACACGAGAACAATTCACGTGTTCAATCACATATGCATATTTTAAATCAGGCCCTTAAGAATACTCTCTTTTCTCCTGAACCCCAATTCGACTAAAATCTTTTCCAGCAGTTTTCTAATGCGAGATCACGGCCAAGCCTCTAGAAACCCTAAATCATTGTCAATTGCAACCATTGTAGATTCCAGAAATCGCCATCCAAGAAAACCTTGATGCATTATGGGCTCTCCAATACAAGCGGAACCCGCAGCTGCAGAAGTAACAAAACCCTCGGAGTAAAATTAGGCTTCTCAGACAGAGTTTTAAACGTGGAATACAGCTGGAGCTGACATTCAAATTCTATCATCCCCATCATCAATCCTACCACGTCCTCGAACAACTCAAATCACTCACCACTTCGCGAAACAACGAACTCGGGATATCCACAAGAGCTCTCATAAGAAACGTACTCACAACCCTACATGAAATCAAACCCCTTGCCCCTCTCCACAACCCGACCTCTCATCTCATGTCCGTAGACCTTCCCCTTACGCGCTTTCACCTGGTTCCCTGCGCCACTCTGCTCACGATCCAGACACACGAAATAAACTACACGATTAATCGAGGTGGCATGCTCAACCCATACGCCAACACAGCATTGCCACCGATCCGTCGCTGCCAAAACCCACATGATCCAGAACAAAACACAGCAGATAGGCGACAGAGCGGGAGAGAGACGACGACCTATTACCGGTGAGCGTGCATCTCCGTGACCCCACCGTCTGTGGGGCCTATTCATGTGCTGGGCACGCAGTCAACTGAGGTACGGATATGGATCGTATATGTATGGGATTTACATTATACGCCTGCGTCGTTCCGTGAAGCTTCGAAATGGTTTTGAATATACTCCTTTGGTAATTTCCTTGAGATTTGAGATTCAAAGCTCATTCTCTTCACATGCTTTTTCTTGGTATGTGGCTTCTTGGGCAATGATTCTCGTTTGTAATTCCCATAATAACCATATTAAACTTTTTTTTTCTTGCTTTTGGAGTTGACCTTGGAGTTCGATGCTACTTTGTGTTAAAAGATGCATTCTTTTCACATGTATACTTATTTCGGAATTCTAAATACTTTACTGCGTTGGAAAACACAACGGATTATATTCCATGGATCCTTGTTTTTTATCAAAACTTCCCATTTATGAATGTTGTTTGTATCTAACTTACACGACTTGCATCTTCTGTAACGTATGTGGTTTTTCTATTTATAGAAATTCATGTACATGTAAATGGGAGATATTTAGAATCTACGGTGATAATATTGAGCTATTTTATATATTGCTTGTAAAAAAAATTATAACCAATAAAAGAATTTATATCATCAAAATATTTATTAGAAAAAATTATTTAATCTCTTATTTTATTTCAAATACATAAAGAAATCATTATTTCATTTATTTATTTTACTCCAAATCTTACAGGAATATCGATTTAATATTTGATAAGCAAAAGAATATAATTTGGGTAGAATAGCATTACAGAAAATATATACATATATAATATTTTATCATAATTAAAAAATCATTTATCTTTGATAATTAATTTGTAAATTATGCACGGTTGCAATTAACTTGATAATTATTTTGTGTTTGGTGTAATTAAAAACACTAGTGCAATTTATCTAAATTTAGCTGATTGACCCAAATATGAAGGTACTTGTCAATTTCATTGAGTTTATTTTATTTATTTTTGATGTCATGCATTGTTTGCACAATATTAAATAACATATGTAATTTGTTTTTAAAGCAACACATACACACACTTTTGTGTGTATATATGTATGTATATATGTATATCTTGCTGGCCAACTATTTGATATTTTCAATATAGGAAATAGTCTTAACCTTCTTGACTTGAATATCATATGATGGTAGATTAGTAAATGTGCATGTGCAAATGAGTACTAGGACTGAAATCAATTGCTAATTACTTTTAATTACAAAAAACACAAAATATCTATTTGTTGTAAATGAACTCAGACAAATATGCATGTACAATGACTTTAATTCTTAAGCAGTTAATTCATTGTCACCAAAAAATAAAGCATTTAGAGTTGCAATTACAAAAGAAGCTATTGATTAGTGTGATTTGTTAGATTGAAGTATAAACAATATTTAGTTTATTGGGATGAAAAGTATAGAAAGAACCAGGTGAGGAAAAAACTTCTATACACATAAATATTTTCAAAGAATCATGTGAGAATGAGAAAATAAAACTGATGAATTGTCAATCATGTGCAATGTAGAAACCTGCATTGCATCATCATGGATGATAATTAATATTATATATGTGTCATAGATGAAAATCAAATATGTAAAAAGGATGAATTGCAAGTCTAAGTGTAGTATATCTGTATGTCTGTTATTGTGGAATTGCATTGCAAGTTTTCAGTTCTTACATGTACTGTTCACTATTAATAGCATTGAAAAACACTCAATATTAAGATGTGTTTGTTTCAAGTAAATTGGTTTTTCACTCTCTTAAATAATAATAATAATAATAATAACAATCATAAAAGAGAGTGAGAGATTATCCACTTCATTTCGTTTTACAAATTTAGCTTTGTTTTATGACCAAGAAAGTTTTAAAACATTTCAGAAGGTCCCTACATGATGAAGGTAGCCTACTCAACTACAGATTCAGTTAGAAGTGGATTCAGAAGTGCTTACGATGTAGCTAAGAATTCACCAAATCTTATTGATATCATAAAATTGCACGAATTGGAATATGGGTTAACAGTTCAACTCTCTGTTATTTTTAGAAGGATGCATGTTGAATTTTTTTGATTCCAATGACGCTGAACACCACTAAATTTCCGTGATAGAGAAAAAGACAAAATAACTTATCTTTCGTGTACTAACATAAAACATGAAGCACAATTCTACTAAAAGACAAGAATATATTGTTTTCAGTTTATTTCTAATAATATGTAGCTTTAGGTCTAAAAGTATATTTTCAGCAGGATTTTCAGGTGAATGGTTCAGTTTTGTTTTAAATTTACTTAAATTATACAACTATATAATTATTTGAAGGAGATAAATAAATGAATAAAAGAGGAAGAAATTAAGATTTTATTTTTATTTTATTTTTAATTTAATGAAGACAGATCATAGAGAACTAAATGTCAAAAGAAAAAGACAACAAATACATAATCTACAATGTTAATATGAATTAAATATTCCTTTATTCCCTGTGGTGATTTTTCTAGGGCAACAGTTTGCTTTGATAGTAAATCCAGGTTGTTTCTGGCCTGAACAGCAGATTTAAGATGGTGCATACAACCCATTGTTTCATGTGTGATGATAGTTGGCTGACTATATACTTGAAAACAAATAGTTGCATTGATGAGATTGTGTTGGTGTCAAGCTCATTGTGTAATTTGCAGCACATTCACTTGAGTTTGTTCATAAGTTCCAACCTTTCCTTATTAGAAGTATTGTTTCTCTTCTCCCTTTCTGATTCACTTGTTAATTTCTGCACTTGCTCATGCCCTCTTTGTGAAGAAGGGTTTTACCTTCTTCACAAAATGTGTCATTGACAATGTGGCATCAAGGGACATAAGCAGTGAAGTTCATAGTTTGTGGCAAAGAAAATTTTCTTTCCAAGGCCATTGCCCCCTGACCCTGTGGCAGTCATTACATGTATTACTGAGGGTGTTTCAACATCAATTAGGGATGTAGCGTTAACAATTCCTTATGTATATTACAAAATATTGGAAGGTATGAATAATTTCATAACATAGTAGTGTACCAGCTTATCCAGGTTATTATTGCCATGTTTTTATGGGAACCATTGATTTTATAACCACCATGCTTTTTTGAGACAGACTTGATTAAAAAGCACTCTATGATAAATCTTTGAATGTTTCTCAGCATTTGCATTGAAATCAACAAGAAACATTGGTGCCCAGCTCCAGATCATATCACTTCCAAAGCCATTAGAAATTCTGTAGACAATTTCCAAAAAACGTCAAGTTATTGATCATACCACGCTTGAACTATTTACACCCAAACTCTTTCACCAAATACAAAAGTACAAAAATAAGCAACGTAGAAAAGAAACAACCAAACAATAAACGAAAAAAAGCTCCAAGCATCGAAAAGCAAGGGTGTGGAACAATTGGATATAGAGACCAAAAGTGACGCCCACCCAAGAAAAAAGTGAAATTAAAATAGTTCAAAGTCAGCCATCACATGGGACTCTTCAAAGTGGGCAAGAGAGACAAGCCAAAAAAACGGGGGCTTGACCCCCCCACCCTCCGCCCGGCCCGGCCCTTTATTTTGTCAACCCAGCCGGGGATTTGGTCCAGCCCCGCCCCGCCATTCTTGACCCGGGGTGGGCTATGCGGAAGGGAGGGCGAAGGTGCAGGGGTTGACTCTGATTTGAAATCAGCCTGTTATTGGTGGTGAGTGGTACCGTGATCTTGAGGAATTGAAGGGGAACCCCCCCTCCCCCTCATGTCCCCATCATCCCCCTCCCCCTTACGAAGGCAAAAATTCAAACTCAGTGGAGGGATAGAAAGAAAATAAAAGATAGAAGCCACTTGCTTAGTGCTCCCCCTCCCCCCCTTAAAGGCACTAGTTGACTTTACTAAAAGCATCCATATTCGTACTATATGTATCTATGTATCTATGTATGAGTATTTGATATACTTGTAGGAATATGAAAGAATGTGTTCCGAAGGGCGCTCGCCACCTGTCCACCACTTGTCCAGAGGGGTTCACCGTCGCCAACACCCATTTGTGTTTCCAATTATATACAGTGTAAGGTTACGATATATGATACCAACTCATTCCCCTCGTATCGTCCTGTATTGTTTGATCTCCGCGTACAAGTGCAACATACTCAATGTAAGTCACGCAATATGTTTGTGTGTGTGTGTGTGCGTTGTATTTTGTGTGTCGTTTTTATAAGATTGTTTTTTCTTTTCTTTTCATTTGTAAGGAATGATTATTGGACCTATTGGGTTGTAGCTGCTTCTTCACATGCTTTTACTGTGTAGGATACCTCACGTTATGTACTGGATTTATGTATATCATTTTGAGGGTGATGTGTTTTTTTTCTTTTTTCTTTTAAAATTTTAATGTGAATAAAAAAAATGATAGTATATAGATATAATTCCGTTGTTAATCCATCATCTTGTCAATGCTCCATACAGCATCTTCATAGACACAGGTTGCTTTTCTCTCTCTCTCTCTCTCTCTCTCTCTCTCTCTATATATATATATATATGTAAAACACGTTCTCACATTTTTTAAATATCTTCTGTGTTGTTGATGGATTCAGTTGACAAATCTTGGAGAATTATTGACTACATTTTTATGAATCCTAGAACCACTATGGATTTAAATTTTACACTTTGTTTTATTAAAAAAGAACAGTAGAATGTATATTGAAGAATTCAACCTTAATGTCATCAAGACATGTCACTTACATTAATATTGACAAGAGAATGGTTCAAATAGTCCATTATTGCATCAAATACAATACTTGGATGTGAGTTGAATTCAATCCATTCTATCAACATAATGACAAATTGATTTATTCTTCATAAAAATCCTTTTTTAATGAGATTCTTTAATAATATTACAGCACAAAAGAACCGATGTATTAACAATGTGTTGAATGCAAATGAAACATGAAGATCAAAATTAGTAACCAATGAAGAATGAAAACTGCATGCATATCACTGGTTATATTTATTAACATTGAAAAATACATACTTGACCACCTCGTAATGTTTGAATGTGAAATATACAGAAAGTACATGTACAAGGGTAAGACCCACCCATGATTTTAGTCACCCATAAAATGTACACTGTACCTGGAATAACTTACAGAGAACAAGCTTCAAAAAGGAGTTCCTCCTCTGCAAATTGAATAAACCCTAAAAGGCACACATTTGATCTTTGATCTTGTGATTTATTAATTCACTGAATACCTTTTCTCTATCTCATTCAGAGATGAGTGTATTAAATAGCATGTCCTTTGCATTTAGGCAGGGTTGACATGCTTTGCATGCACCCCCATTTAATGACATGCCTTTGCTCTCACACCCTAACAACACACACATGCTTCATTCCCTTCATCCTTTACCCATGACCCCCTCCCTCTTTGCTATTCCAGAAGCGGCTAAAAGTCAGTGGACTTCCTTTTTCAACCCTACATGCTTTTTTTCCTTTTACTTTAAGGGGGGGGGTCTGAAGCTCAACACACAAGAAGGAAGAGAGGAGGAGGAATAGGAGGGGGAAGGTACATGTGGGGGTTTGAAATTGTACCTCCAGAAAACTGATGTTCAACAGGGGCCTTAATTAGGCTGAAAGTCTTCCAATTGATGGACCCACAAAGGGTCAAAACATTTCATTAATACCAGTCACTTTCTCCAACTTCCTTCTTCTTTCTCATCAACTTCCTCAGTTGTTTATGTATATTACACATATCAATAATTTTATTTTAATGCACTCCCAGAGAGATGTAAGAACTTCAAGAAGCCTCTCAATTCTCATAACAATCCTTCATAAACACAGTCTCCTGGCTTAATTTACTATTTTCCTCTCTCCCCTGGGCTATTAACTCCATGGATTGAATGGCTGATTGGGGGTGGCAATGGCAGGGCAGTAACCGTCAAATCCATGACCTTAACCCCCCCAATCCAGCCCTGGCTAATCCCTACAGTTATGCCTATAAAGAAAGCCACAAGTGTTCACTTTTTTTTCTTCCCTTTTGCCTCCCCCCAAACATTCTGCAGCATGTGTGTACCAATTCAGAAGCAAGATCACTGACTCACTGATCTTACTGATCTATCCAAATCTTGACCTCCATCACTAGCCCAAGATTTGCTAAACATGAAACCAACAGCCAAATAACTCAACTCCAAACCAAACCCAAGATGGCCACCATCACTACCACAACAACTACAACTACAGCTCAGAGTGTTAATACTCTAGGTCCTATAGCTTGTGGGTCTATTAGCTAAATGTCAATAGGGCTGTATGGGTAGAGAGACCCCTGGTGCTAGAAATACCCACGCTTAAGCCTCTTCTCTCTTCCTCCCTCCACCGACCTCTTGGTCACTTAACCCCTACGCCTGGGAGGGAGCGGTGTATGTAATCCCCTGCAACGAGGAGCGCCGACCAGCGGTCGGGGAGAGCGCCTATCCCCGAAGGCTTTCGGTTGCGGTGTCAGAAGGTCTTCGTCTCGCAACGAAGACTAGGACTCCCCCATGGCACTGACCATGCTCTCCTGGAGCCGAGGCGAGGCGAGGCAAAGCGAGGGCAGGTCTGGAGGTTGAGCGAGAGGGGGAGAGGGCGAGCGAGCGAGCGAGCGCGAGAGAGAGAGAGAGAGAGAGAGAGAGTGTGTGAGGGAGGAATAAGCTCATGCAGTGCGAGAGCAGAACATTTTCAACGTCTTGAAGTGGTCGCCCTGCATCATCATTCCCCGTCATTCATCATGGCGGCCCCCGGGGTGCCACCGCGCATCTCCAAGGACGCTACATCAGTACGCTACTAGCTGCTGCTGCTGGGGGTGGATCCTAGAAGGGTGGCGTTTTGCATACTGGCATTCGGTGGTGGATGTCATTTGGGGGGGGGGGGGTGGGGGGGCTTTAGCATAGTTGCAGTTATGGGTGGGTGAGGCGGAAGTGTTTGCTCTGCTTGTGGGGTGGATCGAATTCGGAGGTGGGATAGATTGGGGTATATGTTTTTGGGCTCATTTCGTTTGCTTGTTGAGTGTGGGTTTGCGGGTGTGATGGATATGGGGTTGCTGATGGTTTTGGGTAGGGAGTAGACGGGTGGGAGGAATTGGGAGGGAGTGAGGGCATGGGAAGGCGGGGTGGGAGAAGGGCATGGAAAGAAGAACGGTTTGGCAGTGGGGGAAGGGGATGAAGGGTCCAGTGGAGAGGCACAAGCAGAGGCACAAGAGGGGCACGAGAGGTCTTTTCCAGCGGTGGTGTCCATGATAGTGCTGATGGGCGACGCGAGAAGGATTTTTGACGAATCGCTAATGGCGTATGGGCGGTGAAGGTGATGGTCGGCGAGGATTGAGTGAGAGGGGCGGCTTCGGCGTTTGGGAAGTGGGAGAGAGTTTGGTTACAAGGGAGAGGAGAGGAGACAAGCAGTGGGGTTGGGGCTGTGTGCAGTCTGCAGCAGCTGGGGAACGAAGAGAAAATGCGGAGTCGTCTATGATGACATCTGTGAGACACGCTCGGATTCTTCCGTCGTAAGTTTCTTTTCTGCCTTTGTCTTGCGAGTTTGTGTGGAAAATAGTGATGAAGGGTAGGGTGTAGGTGGGTTAGCCGCTGATGCAGGGCGTAGTGGATCGTTTACACAATGGGGGGTTTCTTACATAGAGAGGGCAAGACTGCTGAATGAATTCCAATCCATAGGGTTTTCGATGAATTAGGAATGAATTTTTTGATTATTTCTCGTGATCAATGGCTGATTTCTTGTTGATCGAATTTTGAGGGTGTTTGCGTGCTCATTTACATGTTTGTGGCAATTTTAGAAATGGGAAACAAAAACGAAAATATGAGCAGTATTTGATATTGTGAAATTATGATGTCTTCGAGTAGCCATAGTACAGATCATGCGATGGGCAATAGGATGTCAAGGATAACGTTGGGGTGCTTCAGCTCAGAGAGGCATGAGAAATACGCCCATGGGCTGCATTTCTCAGAACCTCTGGACGAAGGATTGGGGCACTCCTTCTGTTACGTCAGACCTGTACTGGGGTCCCCAGCTCATTCTCCCCATTATGAAGATTTTCGCGACATTTCGCCTCCAGCACTCGACTTGCCGCTGGAGTTGTCGTCTGCCGAGTCAATCGAGATGGACTCACAAATTGGGATCTCATCGGACGAGCTACCAAACCTAGAGAGAATGGAGCCTGAGACTAGGCAGGCAGATAGGCCCAGGGTGGTATGGGAGAAACCAGAGAGGGGCAAGCACAACGAGAGAGCCAAGAGCCTGACCGAGACTTCGTTCAAGGCCATATCGGGTGCTTCAGTAAGCGCCAACACGGCCACGCCCCGGTCAGTTGCCAGTCAAGAGCAGTTCAATTCTTTTTCAAATGTACCCATCGAGCGAGCCGCAGCTTTTGAGAGCACGTCTTCCTTTAGTGCCCTTCCGCTGCAGCGCATTGCAAATTCAGGCCCAATATCTGGCCCTTTATCGGGGCCTCTTGGTTCGGGTACTCTTGACAGGGGTTTGCCGTCAGGACCTTTGGAACGAGGGCTTATGTCAGGTCCCTTGGAGAGAGGCTTCATGTCAGGTCCAATAGAGAGAGGGTTTATGTCGGGACCAATAGAGAGAGGATTTATGTCAGGGCCACTCGAGCCAGTGGATCGCAACACTTTCTCAGCGCCTCTTGCAGGTCCTCACGGTCCTGCCAGGAAAAAAAATCCTCTCAAGCGCTTTGTGAGATCCATGAGTCTTCCTGTGAAGAAAGCTATTGCTCGCACGGTGTCTAAAACAACTGCCACTTTAACCCGCACCATCGTGATCCCCGTCAGGCACTTCGTTTTGGGAGATCATCCTCGCGATGTAGACCATCGAGACTTCCCTCTGAGCTCTCTCGATTCACCCTTGGACTCGGGCTCTTCCGGCTCTGATTTGGAGATCAAAGCCGACAACAATCTACAATGGGCTCAAGGAAAAGCTGGGGAGGACCGTGTGCATGTGGTTCTATCCGAAGAGCATGGTTGGCTATTTGTTGGCATATACGATGGATTTAATGGACCTGATGCTCCCGACTTCCTCATGAGCAACTTGTATCCCGCTATTTACAGAGAGCTCAAAGGTCTGCTCTGGAATCAGAGGAGTGGTTTTGAACTTGGTGATGATAGCCCCTGTGAGGATGGAGAAGGGGGTGCTCCTGGATACAGATACATCCGCCGCTCAGGAGAGGAAGAAAGGGCTGGCGGTGACTTCATAGCCCGTTTAGGACGTGTGGATTCTACCGGGTCTGATCCTTCGCAGGAAGGTCAGAAGGGGTGTTTGAGGATTATGGAGTCTGGGGTGATGGGATTGAGTAGTTTGGAAACGTCCGTAATTGAAGGGGACGGGAGAGAGGATTCAGGTAAAAATAGTTGCCATCCACGTAGTCATCTTGATTCGCTGTTAGATAAGCCTGCCGTCAGTGCTGATCTGAGGCCTGATGATTCAGACAACGGGCTGGGGCAACCTAATTGTGAGGTAGATACTGCTGTGATTCATTGTGATGAACATCTCCCAGGAGAGCAGCTTCACAAGCATACAGAGGGGCACATAAATTGTGACCTAAGTACAACAGAGTCGAACTGCAAATTAGGCTTAGGATTAGAACGAGAAGGAAAATTGGTTGAGGATAGAGTAGGCACGCAGGAGGGTACTGAACAGGATTTGTCGAGCATTGTTTCTCAGGTAGATTCGCCTGAACCGATAGGATCTAGTAATGTACACTTGGCCGAGAACGTTCCCGCCAAAGATCATAGCATTCTCAACACTAAATTGCAATTCCTTCATGATCGGCGTCGAGAACAGCACCGGAAGTATCCGCAATGGAGGTATGAATGGGAACAAGAGAGACTTGCGGAAGAGGAGCGGCTTAGAGAGAAACTTCGTCTCAGGCGGGAAGCAGAAGAGTCGGAGAGCAATACTGTTGATCATGATGCTGTTTTGAAAGCACTCTCTCGTGCACTGGAAGCTACAGAAGAAGCTTATCTAGATATGACTTACAGGTTTGTAAACCGTCTTTCAATTTGAGTCTTTTTGTAAGTTTCCTGAGTTTCTTTCGTGTTCCAACATTCGTGACTTGTGTTTTCCTGATTCCTAATTGTAGTGGTCGGACTGCTGGGTACTTCTCGGTCAGACAGTGTGTTTACAATGGGTTCTTTGGTGCAGGGTTCTAGACGATAATCCAGAACTGGCGTTGATGGGGTCTTGTGTACTGGTGATGCTCATGAAGGATGAAGATGTATATATTCTGAATGTTGGAGATAGCCGAGCAATCGTAGCTCAAGACTGCAGACGAGGCTCTTTTAATTCTTTGTCCAAACTTTCCCGTAGCCAACTGAATGGCTACAATGCAGACGAGCACGAAAGGATTGGTGCTCGTGACTCTCTACTGCGTCAGGAACTCGAGAGAATCATTGAAGAAACCCCCACAGAAATTGAGGCCCTCGAGGCTCACGACCCCAACCTTGGACCGCCCCCACCAGGCTTGTCTCTATTAGGTGCCTTGCAACTTACAGAGGATCATAGCACCAGCACTGAAGAGGTGAAACATTGGATTTTCATCATCTGCTTGATGTGTATGGATCTACTTCCGTGATCTCCATATTAACTACAACTCGATGGTTTGTATGACTTATATCTGTCGTTCCTTTGTTGCCGTGGAAAAATAGGAAGTGCAAAGACTAAGAGCTGAGCATCCTTTCGATGATGACATAATTTCAAATGACCGAGTGAAGGGGAGGCTCAAAGTGACTCGTGCATTTGGTGCCGGATTTTTAAAGCAGGTATTTTTATTTTGTTTTATTTTACTTGCCTTTCCTACATGTACTTCTGCAGTTAGAATTTCGACAACAATCTTAGCAGTATGCAGAGTGGTATTCCTCCTGAAAGGAGCTTTACAGTCATTTTACAAGAGTCTTCAGTTTCTTGTATGGTCTTGCCCCTACGTAACAACTTGTCAGAGAATTTCAATTTGGTTAAATTTCTTTGATCTGAAAATGCACTGAGCAGAGCATGTGTGCCGTGATACTGTGCTGATATTCGTATGTGGTTTGTTTTGTGAGCGACACAGCCGAGGTTGAACAATGTTCTCTTTGAAATGTTTCGCTGCAAATTTATCGGCAATGACCCATATATTTCTTGCGATCCGTGTTTGCGGCATCATAAACTTGGGCCGCAAGATCGATTCTTGGTGCTATCATCCGATGGGTTGTACCAATACCTCAGCAATGAGGAGGTTGTATCTCATGTTGAATGGTTTATGGAGAGGTGCCCTGATGGAGATCCAGCACAACGTCTTATTGAGGAACTTCTTTTCCGAGCTGCCAAAAAAAATGGTGAATCTAATTCTCGTCAGTTGTGTTGATTGCTTCTAGACCTTGGTCATAGTTGACATTTACATCCACAGGAATATGACTGTATATTACTGGTGAATTTGATTATGATCTAATGAACGAAACGGCCAATATTGCAGGGAGGTTGTTCCTTACGGTCAATAACTATTCATATCAGGCAAAGTTTTGTTCAAATTTGAGAGCGCGTTAATTAACTGCTGTTTGGTTGTTGGGGATGCAGGAATGGAATTGAACGAACTTCTGGATATCCCACAAGGTGATCGCCGCAAGTACCATGATGATGTCTCTGTGATGGTTATTTCTCTTGAAGGCAGAATTTGGAGATCTTCAGGTTCCCTGAAGCATCCAGCTTGAACTGTTCCACAGGTTTCCTGGCTCCCATGAGAGCTCCAAAGTTAGCAAGTGGGTCCGTAAGCTCCTTAGCTTTTGCTTGTTACCACAACAATTTGTTATTCTTGTAACGTTACATGAATAATAGAGAGTAGCCGGTTACATCTCTATCTTCAGAATTTTGTCTCTGTAGGTGCAGCTGCGTGCAATATGCCAGCTTGGATAGTGTTTTCAACACTGGGTGTATTTCGCTCATCCTTTGTTATCAGGCAATTTCTTCACTGACAAAACTGGGAAGCATACAAGAACATTTAGTGTGTATCCATATGACGAGACATGTGACTTCTACATGGCTGGCAAGATCGATTTGTCCCTCAGGTTGGCGCTATGTTTAGTAATCTATGTGCTCGTAATTGTTCACAAGCTTTTTCAAATTGTGAACTCGACAAGATCATGAACGATATTAGATATTGAAGGTATTTGATCTGGCCGTTTGAATGATATGAGGTGTGTACTGGTAGTGAAGTGCTCAGGACGCACCGCATTGCAATCTTAGTAGTTTCCTCCTCAGGATATTTCTGTGCAGTTTCTTTAAAATTTCAACTAAATTGTGATACCCATTCCATTACAGCAAACCTTAAGGAAATTGTTTTATACTTGTGAGCATCCAGAATCATGATTTTCGATGCATCCGTTTCCTTATGCCACCTTGAAGGAGCGTGGTGCAGGTTCTTATGTATGATTATTTGGTGATATCTATGTTTCGGTACAATATGATATTAAAGTATTTATTTATGTTTTACTGGAGAGCACCCTCAGAAATTTGAACTCTCTTCTGAGTATTGAATGCTATATCACCTGCACATAAAATCTTTCTCCCCACCATCCCATCGCAACTCTAGGTTGGGATTGTGACCTGGGTGAATCTGTAGTAGAGACGCAGAATGTGTAACCATTTATCTGAATTTTCTTCCTCGTGCTGTATATGTAGAATGTGTAGCTATCTCTCGGCCTGGCAGTGCTAATTATCTGTGGAAGCTTAGCGCAATTCTCGGGAGCTGAATTGTATGTAACCATTAGATGGCTTTGAATGAGTACTTGTGATAGACAAACCTGTTTCTGTCGAATGTTCTGTAGATTCATCAATTCCTGCTATCCAGGTAAAGTTGGTAGTATGTGACGTGTTGGTAGTCTATGTATCTACACTATCAGTTGGAATGCTTTTGAGACTCCAATCTCCACTTCGGCAAAGTTGGTTTTATCCATATTCTGACTGCGCCTGATTAATATGAAAAATTCAGTAATAACAGAACCAACACGTTCGGGAAACTGGATGGCTCTCATTTATAGTATGTCTGTAACTTGTTTCCTAGCACGCAAAGCTTCAAGTTACTTTGAGTTCATCAAATGTAGCAGTTGATTCTGCAATCAAATATCGCGTTGGAGTAGAAGTTTAGGGGAACGTCTCTGAGAAAGAGCAGCATCAGTTTGGATGTGGCAACTATTGAGTCTTATCGGTTAGTCAATGAACCTGCCTAATTACCGCAATTTCTAGAATGCTGCTTAGATACGTGGTTTAACCTTGTGGGAGCATACTTGTTGCGGTAGTTATAATGAATGAATTTTAGTGATAAAGGTGGTAATGATTCTAAAGATTGTAGTACATCTTGCAAAGTAACATATACCTGTTCATATGCTTCTACAACATTTATGTGCTTGTATACAATTAGCAACTGAAGGGGAATTTGCTTATGAGCCTCGCTGATTTAATTCTCCACTTAGAAGTTTAAAGAGTTTTATATTTCACAATCAATTTTACATGAAATAAACTTCTATGGATCTATACTAGCTCTGATACCATGTTAGATCTATCAAAGGTGAGAATTCATATGAACAACTTACGTGAACATACGTCTGACACTACTTTCATGCAGCCCAGGTTTTCTTTAGACAGAATAGTTAAATAATCCCGACTAAGGCAAGCCCATTTCACTCCTTCATTCGGGATAAAAGAAACTTGCACAGAAACTTCTCAGGTTCCAGTTTTCTGCCATGATCGTCTCCCTCACGTTGGTCAACAATAGTCGATATCAACTGTTTCCCACCAGCCGACTGTGAAACTCAGGAGGGCACTTTCAGTGTCTTAAGATCTGGATAAATCATAGCTTTTGGTAATATGAGATATTCAACACTTTGTATGCCAGCAGTGGGACTTAATTTTCTATTGAAACAAGACCTAATATATCCCTAAAAGTCAGAAACTTATCTCTAAGGAGAGGTTTTGTGAAGATGTCTGCCACCATTTGTTTCATGGGACATTACTCCAAACCAATTTGTTTTTTTCAACACATTGCCTAATAAAATAATGTTTTGTATTCCAATGCTTTGTACAATAATGGTCAGCTGGATTCTTAGCAATAGCAATGACATTTTGATTATTCTCATAAATGAGAATATTTTCAGCTCAAGAATGTCATATGCACTTGGTTTTTGTTTCACTTTTCTTGAAACCTTCTCTTTAGAGTCGAAACTGAGTCCAAGCAATCTAAAGCTTTGATGCACTTGTTTTGTACACTTTTCATCCCATCAATAGTCCAAGTCATGATGGATCCATCAACCAAATATAAAAAAGTGGATGGATGCTGATAAAAGTCAAATATGGTAGAAGAAAAACCTTGATGGAAAAACCACATCCATTTACAGGCCATCACAAAATTGGTTTACAAGTCTCATTCTAGACGCACCCTTGTGTATCTCTCTACAATCAAAATATTGCTTATAGAGTATTAAATCCATATAACTTGCAGATCAATGTCAATGCCTATGACTCTTCATAGTGCAGTTCACATCTCCTATTTGAGGTTCAATGATTTTGTAGAAGCATTGGCAATCTCCACCTTGACAATTTGCAAGTGATATTCAAATCATGTTCTAAATCCATTTATTATAGCAGCAAGAAGATATTAAGTTTGTCTTCTTTTACCTCTTTTGTGTCAAGATTATTAATACCTACAAAAATATAAATATAAATTAAGTATTATCGCATGCAAATATTTATTATTTCTTGAAATAGGACTAAGTTCTAATAAAAGAAGATAGTAGAAAGAAGATATATTTGTAGTGGTAGTAGAAGAAGGAACAAAAAACGACTAGTTTTGTATCAGTGTGTGCATTAATTATATTTCAACCAAAAGAAACTACTATCTTATTATCATCACCCATCATGAGCTTTCTCTCTTTGATTTTTTTTGATTTTTTTTGATTTTGATTTTGATTTTTGATTTTTTTTTTTGCCTTGCTTGTTTCTTCACTCCCTAAGTTGGTTGCAAAATATTTGTAAATGACATTCACTCTCATTCATCATATAGTCATATGCTTTACTTCTTTTATAAAAGAGAGTTTTTGTCAGAAGATTTTATATCTTAAGTAACCATGTCTATTGGCCATTTACTTCAAAGAAAAGAAAAAAGCCATTAAATTAAGTATGTTTTGTATACTAATGTATGTGTATAACATGCTCACTTAAAATGTACTTACATTGCATTAAATTTTAAAGTGATGTGCTACAACAAATACATACAATTCAATTAGAATTTGAAGTTCACTTGCTTGTAATTCACAATAGTAACAATTACTTGACTGCAATTTCTTCAAAGACAAGCCATTGGATGTATCCATTCTCAATGATAGGCTAAAAGAAGAAGAAAGTATCTACAATTGTAGTAAGTAATTACCAAAGTTGAAAAGTAGAGTTACAATATAAAAAGTACAAAGTATGAATCGTAAGTCCTTATTTTTTTAGATTTATCAATGCACATTCAACTAAAAATAATGTACAATTGATAAAATTATACAATAATATTTTTTATACTCTTTGTGAAGTTAAAATTAAATAAATATGCATTGTCTTAAATTTGCAATAAAAAAACTACATGCATGACACAAGCATTTCTAGCAAAGTGGATGAAGCATGAATTTGCCTTTGTAGAAGCTCCTTTATAACCAACAATTTCAAACATCTTATCATGCCATGAAAAATACAAAAAAACAACCACCAAAGAGCTTACTAGTAGTTGTAAACATGTACCAAACTTTTTGACAATAAATATCAAACTTGAAAATTGGATGTGATGTTGTGAAGCTGGATGAATCAACATCAATCTAATCCTTCTGCACACAAAAGAAGAGAACTTTTGCAAAACACTCAACATCCTAGACAAAAAAGGCCTATGTTTTTGAATTGCTAGATAACATGTTTTAAAGATTGAAATGGATTTTATAACTTACCTTTGTATAGGGAAAGTGGAAGTATAAATACATCAATTGTAATGGCTTACTTGCATGAGTTTAACAAATTAATTGCATTAATGAATCCAAACTATTTTATAGTATATCTCCAAATGAAACAATTTCCAACCTACACATTGAAAGCAAATAGAAATCCAACAAATTTATTTCTATTACATTTACAACCAACACTTTTAGAACCAAGAAGCTCTCAGTATTTATAATTGGTAGAGCCTAAAAACCATATGTATTCTAAAAAAACCAAATCTAGCAAATAACTTGGATTCTATAACCATTTGAATAAGAAAGTTTGGATGATATTTGCATTATTTATTGAATATCTCAAATGCTTTGATTGCAAAATAAGATGCCAAAATCAAAATTCTTCTTTTTCCTAATCAATTAAGCAATTTATAATTTGAATGGTGTTGAAATTCTAAACATCACTCATTATTTCTTCTCTTCTTTTCTTCTAATATGACATCCATTTCTTAATTAATAGATGCTAGGATTATTGTTGCATTTAAACAATATTATTGCTACATGTAAAGGTACTTTACTCTTGGTAAATTTAAGAATAGCACCAACAACCTTTGTAAATTCATTATTTTACAAACAATGCTTTAGACAAGACGTACATATAGTAAAATATTTTTGGAGACAATTGCAAACTAATATAAATATATAAGGCTATCCTATGTGACAACCAAGGAAGATGAGAATGAAGAGGTTGATAATGATATAGAGACCATTATGAAAGACATTAAATAAACAGTATAAGGTTTGAACATGAAGATGTTGTTAGAGTTTTTACTTAATCTTCCAAACAAAAACAATGCACTATGCCAAACATTTGACAATTCTACTCTTGGTGAAGTTAATAGTGTTGTATCCAACAAAACTTTGAAAAACATTGATCTTATTGCAACAATACCAAAATTGTACAAAGAATGGCTTACCATGTTGCATGCATTACTCCAATATTGATAAAAATATCAACTTGTAAATTTGTTAAGATCTTTCTTAAGTATAAGATTGGATCCGTTTAAAGCATAATAAGTCACTTAAAAAAACTATCAACTAATACTTGTATAAAATATAGACAAAATTATTAAAATAATAATTGCCAAAGACTAATAAAAAATTAATTAAATTAAAAAACTTTTTTTTGTGGTAATTATGCAAAAAATAAGATTATAAGTTTATGGCCAAAAAACATTAATTAAAGAATATCAAATAACCAAGAAATATATATATATATATATTAAAAAAATATCAAAATTTATTAATATAATAAGATGTATTTCTATAAATAATTTAATATGTATTCTATGGCAAAGAGATTTTGATTTAAAAAGTATACTTGAAAGTAATATATATGAACCTATTTAATGAAAAAGACAAAAAAATTTGTCACCATTTTATAGCTTCTTATATACTTTAATAGGATATTTTCAAATTGTTGCAAATTTGTATAAAATATCCATTAAGTGTCCTCTAAGAAATATATTGCAAAACATGTATGCATAATCTAATGAATATGTAAGGATAAGGTGAAGAACTTTCAATTTCAAGACAATTCAATTCATTGTCATTTTCTATGATTTAGAGTGTTCAAGTCTTAAAACTTAGTGAGATTCAAAAAAAAAGAAAACTAACTAACTAACTAACTGTTTCTAATTTCTCATTAATTACTCTCTCACAAATCAAATAGAAATAAAAATATTTTTGTGAAGTAGAGTTTGACAAATCAACCCGAATTGAGGACGTCCCCAATGAATCATAAAAAGCATGTAGTTTTTTGATACATAAAATGACCAAATCTTTGATGTTCAGTCCTTTGACTCAATTGATCATACTCCCAGATACCCATATACTAGTGTCGGAGAAGTCACTTTTCCTGTCTCTGAATTCACAAACGCAACCCTTGCGTACAATTACATGGTGATTGACAACGGTCTACTGTGAAGCTGCATTTCAGACTGGTGGGGCAGTGAGGCAATATCCTGCTGCGACGTTACTAATTTCAATGAACCAGCCCACTCACCAATACAGCCAGAGTAATGTCATATTCTACTGTAAAATTTGAGAATGTCTTTACAGGCCACTTCGAACATCGGTGGCATAGTAGAAAGTGACACAGCGAGGGCATATTCGGTTCTACAAAAGTCTCATTGACAGGGTTAATGCAACTCGGATGATCGTGTGGTAACCATCGTTGAGTAGTAATCCAGATTGCATCAACTGACAGGTAAGTGGGCTGGATCCAATTAGTCAACGCACAACCATAATATTTTTTTTTCATCATTTTCTAATATGATTTTTGGATCCTAATGCATTTTTACATGAACTTAGCATCTAGTTAGCAACATTATCTACAAAACCTACTTTGTCACAGGCAGAACCTTATGTGACTGACTTTTGTGGCTGACAATTAACTTTTTAAACATTTGTGGACGACTCTTTGTTCACTCCTGAAGCAACAGATTACTACCCGGAAAACACTAGAAAGATGAGTATCACAAGTAGCACCACCAGAAACACTATCATGAACACTTGGCCTTTCCAACCTGCCATCTTCATCACTGTTGCAAGCTTTTTCTGCACATCACATAAACTTCACATATCGGCCAGAATTCTAGTACTTGCAAATTTGACTTCAGAAAATTTATTCGCATTCATCGTCATGGAGTAAATGACATTTATTTTCCAAATTTGGCATTCTTTTGGAAAGAGAATGCCAAACTTAACAGTAATATGCCGATGTACCTGGACTACGTCAAGCCGAGAGGCTGTGCCATCTGTATCTTCGCTGAACTTCTCCATAAGCTGACCCTGTAGGACAATTTGAATAAAATACTCAGATAAGGGGTAGCAAATCCACTTAACCTTCCCTTCACTAGGTGCCATATTGACCAAGTATTTCATGCTGCATGTGGTCAGTTCATACTTGAATTTAAGCAGATAGATGCCCTCCCAACTTCATCAACCGTTCAGAGCTTTTTGATTCCAGGATGTCTGGAGTGCAATGGAACCATCTAGCCCAATCATAGAAATAAAAGACCACCACACTAATACAAGTCCTGCAATGAAAAGGATGTACCTGTAATGACAATTCTTCGTGTATACTAACGCCTACGTGGCCAACATGAGTCAGACTTGCACTCAAATCATCTAGACCTTCATCTTGTTCCCTGTCGCACAATGGAAATACCAAATGGAAGGCTCAACAAAAAACTTTGAGAAAACCATGACTTGCCGAACACTTCGTAAAAGTCCGTTCCATTCACATTTAAATATAGTAGGTGCAAAATCACAAAACAAATGTAGGTGTTGACACTGTTAAGAAATTTTACTGCAACATGACTCCTATCATTGACAATGATAGATTTGAAAAGTAGACCTTAAAAGAAGTTCTTGTCGATCAGATTCATTAGCAATATGGCTGTCATAATTCGAACGTGTGGGCGCCTGCTGGAATTGATCGTCTATTCGCAAAAATCCCGGACGACTAGTTGGAGCATCAGCACCCCCAGCATTAGTCAAAGATTTGCTTTGAAGTTTTTCAGTTATCGAATGAACCTGCAAAGCAAAAAGAAAAGAGTGCAGATGACCAGTAAACACATACCAAGGTATTCAACTAATAAGGTACAAACGTTAAGCAAAGAGGACGTAGAGGTCTATTTTAAGGTAACATCCAAGGAGAACATGACAATATGACGGCGCAGACCACAATCGTAACAACTAAGCGCTTTCAGATCAATCCAGTATAAATAAAGAAGAACAGTCTGCGAATATTAAACACTCAAACAAACACGAGATTGTTCACAAACCTGGTTCCTTGTAGAAGAAGTCCAGCTTTTGCGCCGTTTTATCTCAACTGCATCTAACTTGAAGCGAGCAGGATCCTTCTCTGCAACAGAAGTTGCCTTATCCAATTCATCAACCTGAAAAACCATCATTTGCTTTCATATCCGTCCACCCGTCAATTTTTGAATTCACGGCGTATATTGCATGCGATCCACCACAATGGTGCCAAGTATTCCCACGTAACCTTTCCGAGATTAGACAGTACTATGTGACCAACACAACAATCTAATGTGATCCCTGGTTTTGTCCCTTACCAAATCATTGCACACAAGGAGCTATCCTAGAAAAACGATGAAAAATAAATTTTAAAACCACCCTACAATTTATGAAAACACCTTACTTCAATCTGAATCTTGGGAAAATGAAATTGCTTAACACGTTAAACTCATAGCAGCTTCCAGAATTCCGTCAAAAATTGGAAATTAAGACAAGAACTAGCAACCAGGTTTTAAAACAAGAGGAACGAGATTAGCAGTGACAATTATAGGTCTAACTGCTGTAATTGAGCGACATACCTGCCATTCTAAGCTCTCACAGCTGGATAGCATCTCCCCTCCAATCACGCTCCGCTCTGTGGACGAAGTCGGTAACTTCTCCCATCGAACCAACGTAGAGAGCAGCTTCGTGACCTACACGCCAATACCACGAAATTCATGTCCCTATTCACAATCAACTCACGAAACAAAGACACACGCCTCCAGAAACCAACCATCACGCTGAGACCACCCCCACACGACCCGAGAACAAAAGCAATTCTGCATGGCTCAAGGCTGAAACCTAATTATCCACCCGATGCCAAATGAACCCACAAACACCACCACACCACCACACCAAACTCGCAACACAATGACAACCCCACCCCGAGGTGCAGGCGATGCCTCTTAAACGACAACACCTCAACCACCAATTTCAGCCATTTCTAAGTCGAACAGAGAATCAACTGGATAGAAAGCACGATCGGAGGGAGGGGTAGGCAGAAATTAAGCAAGGAAGGATCTGGTCATCACTTACAGTGTCCTGAATCTCGTCTTTGACGAGGTAGAATGGATCCGACGCTGACATGATGGGAACTAATGTTCCGAGTGAGAGACGTCTGATATGAAAGTGATGAAATGAGCTGGATCAAAGAGGGGAGAGGGATGGAGAGCAATGGATCGATGAAGCGAGGAGGGGGCGTGTGGTGCTGAGGCTGGGGCTAGCTTTCTTCCCTTTGCCTTGGCCTTCCCTTCCCTTCCTTTGCTGCGACTTCCTGGAGAGTTGTGCGCTGCGACGCGCACAGCGTTGCAGCTCTGCGTGTTCATTATCAGCCTTCTTCTTCTTCGTGGCCCGTTCTGTCCTGTTTCACACCGCCGACGCAGGCACGGGATATTTGGCCTGGATCGAGTGCCCCGTCAGCACTTCTCTCTTTCAGTTGCCTTGCACCCCGTGGTGCCCGCTCTCTCTCTCTCGTCCACTAGTTTCGACTTTAATTTTTTTACTTTGTTTATTTGTTCTTGTGAAGTGGAAATTCTTTCCATGTTAAAAAATGTATGTATAGGAATATGTGTATATGTTTTTGTGAGTTGAATAGAATATGAAATTTTGAAGCATTTTGTAGGTGTGTTGTTCTTTGCATGTGGGAGAAGTTTTGTATTCATATTGTGATGATTTTGCTATGTCTCATTGTTTTATTTGTGAAAATGGAACAATATTTGTAAAAGGCAAGAGAGAGAGGACAAAAAAAAAAAAAAAAAAAAAAAAAATTTAAAGCAGTTCAAGGAACAAACTAGAGGAGACAAAAATCATCTCTTATTGGCTGCAAATCTCATTGTTTTCATCAAAAGTAAAGTAAAAGTGAAGCAATAACTCAAAATCTACATGTTGAGAGTAGCATTGCACGATCACTAGGCATAGAGTTCGAAAGTTTCCAATTCTAATTTATAGTAAATATTTTTAGTTGCCAATGGCAAGAATTTCTACTAATATATATATATATATATGTATATATATGTATTGAAAGAATGATGTATTAGATACATATAGATTTAAGAAACAAGTAGAGTAGTTGAGAACTTGTTAAACAAAGATTTGATCTAATTTTGGTTCTTTTTACATTAATTTGATAATAAATGAAAAAGAACAAGAAAGATTAGTGGATAGTATATAATATTTTAAAATGTTACTTGAAAATCATAATTTTTAAATTATTTAAAAGACGTATGAAATTAAATCCTTCAAAAAATTATATTTATTTATCTGATTTTTTAGAGATATCCAAAATGCTTTGAGACTATTCAGAGACTAATTCAATGAAGAAAAAAACTGACTAAATTAAATACTATTTTTATACTGAAAATTATATAATACCAATATGTTAACTGTGTTGTATTAATCATACTTTTAGAAAAAAATTCAATAACTAGAACTGAATTTCGAAATAAAAAAAAATCAAACAACTTATTTGAATTCCATTATACAATTATGTAATTGAACCTCAAAAAATTATACATTCTTTAGTTGATTCTATCTACAATATAAAACAACAGTTACATATCCTACTTTAAAAATATGTGACATCATAGAAGTTTATTTACAATAATCTTTAAAACAACATTTCACAATATCAAAAATCTCCTTGTTTCTTGTTTTATTGTGAACAATAACTCTATTTTAGATTATTTTTATATTTGAAAATAAATTTAACATATATACATCCATATGTATATTTTGATTACTTCAGTTTTAAGTAGTAACAAAAACATTGCCTATTTCAATTGAATTAAAAGAAAATTGAGATATTTTCAAAGTAGGATTTTTCTAAGATGAATCTTTTCCAAATTCAAAATTTTATATGTATAGAAATAAATAAATAGGTCGATAAATAAATTAGTAAGAAGATATAAGAACAAAAAAAATTAGTAAGAAGGTATAAGAACAAAAAAAACCCCAATTTTGTATTTTATTAGGTTATATAATACAACAATTTTCTTTGAACACTCTATAACATGTAATTCATGTGTATTTTTTCAATAATTTTAATATTTCTGGGATGATTTTATTCAAGTTTATTCTAATTTTTTTTAAACTAATATATATATATATATATATATATATATATATATAAATCTATACTTAACTAACCATAAATATATAAAATTCTTTATTTATTTACAATAATTTTCTCTCACTTTGAATGTTTGTGTTTATATATATATATATATACACACACACACACACTTATACATCAATAAATTAAAATTTTAAATTATTTTAAAATAAATAATTTTATTAAAAGATTATTTGTTATAAAAAGCATTCTAAAATCTCATGTAATTTGTAGAGCATATATATACACATATATACTCATGAATAGATCAAATATTAATTTGTTTAAAATATTTTACTCTTAGAATGAATATACAGTAAATATGGGTATAAAATGAATTGAAAAAGAATTAAAATAACAAAAGAAAAGTTCTTTATTACTCTTAATTTAATCATTTTGCTTACAACCAAAAAGATACTACAAATCTCATTATGTAGATTTTATTCATTGAGTGGACTTTAAAGAAAAAAAAACAAACTCCATATATTGTCCAAAGTATTAAATCTTTGGAAAAAAATTGATTGCATCACAATAAGAAATTTTTCTCATCTTAATTGAAAAAAAACATTTAGTTTTTAAGATATCACACAATTAATAACCATATCTATATATTAAAAAATCTCTACTATTCAATATCAATCATTCTATTAAATGTTAATAGAATATTTAATTTTGCTAATACTCTCTTGTATTTGTAATAGTCATTTGTGAAATTACATAATTTTTTTCTAGTGATTGTAAAAAATCATATAAACTTGATTTTTATAGCTCAATTCTTGGTACCAATATTTACAATTCTTCTAAAATTGCTTTAAAAAACATAATTTTTATAATAACATGTGCATTGCATGCATTATATGCAACTAATTATATTATTTGAAGAATTTTAAATTAATGTGGCATATAAAAGTTTTCAAATATATGTGATTGTGTTAGGTATTATTTACATATCTATATCTATATATACACACACACAGTGACTTCTAAAAGTAATGCAACATCCTTTTCAAACATACAAAATTGACATTTTTTCAGGAACGGGAAAACCTTACGTCACGTGGTGCCAATACAAACTAAATAAAGTATATAGCTAGCCTCACGTCAATTTCCATGGTGATCGAACCTACAAGCCAACAGTAAATGGCAGAAACGTAAATTTAGGGTGTTGCATTACTTATGGAACTCTTCAAATTGGCTGAATTACGGGAACAATTAGCCTTGGTGGTACCAAAGTACTTACTGGTTAACACTCTTGCTTTGCATTCACGAGGTCCTCGGTTCAATTTTCCCTTCCACCATGCCCAAAACTTCCCTAGAAATTCATGCACAGGTGATTGCCCTGCACACTGAACAACAGAGTTGCTATGCAATAGCCAAGAAACTAGGAACAACACCATCAACAGTTAACCGCATCGTTAAACGTTACGGAGCTACGGGGAAGCTGGAGGAAAAACGGAAGGTCAGAACGTCCACGCATTCTTAGTGAGAGAGATGATGGTTACCTGGCACAATTAGTGCAAATTGAAGACCAGAGTACTGCAGTAAAATGTCAGAGGGTTCTTTGAGAGGTTACAAATATCACAACTTCTCTTAACACAGTAAGAAGAGCACTAAAGCGCCAAAGACTACGGTTTGCAGTTAGGAAAAAGAAGCCCCTCTTTTCGGAATGTCACAAACAATTAACGCATGAATGGGCAAAAGAGCATAAGGATTGGACGGAGGATCAGTGGAGGAAAGTTGTTTTCTCAGATGACAGTAAATTCAACATTGTGGGGTCTGATGGTCGAGAGTGGTGTTAGAAGAGGCTTGGGGAACTCCTAAGCCATCGTGTTGTTAGTGAGACTGTGAAGCATAGAGGAGGGAGCATCATGGTTTGGGGTTGCATGAGTTGAGAGGGTGTTGGGGAACTGACCAGAATCGAAGGAAACATGAATAGCGAACGTTATCAGAACATCCTACAAGACAGCATTAGCATGTCAGTTCTGAAGTTGGGAAAAGAAGCGGAGGAGTGGGTGTTCCAACAGGATAATGACCCAAAGCATACAAGCAGGTCAACAGTTAAATGGTTCAATGATCATGCAATCACAGTACTGCCATGGAGTCCTCAATTTCTCGACATGAGTCCTATCGAACACTTGTGGAACGAAGTGGACCGGCGTCTCCGACTCCGTCAAGACCTCCCCACTAACAAGGATGACCTTTGGAAGAAGCTGCAGGGGGAATGGAACTGCATTGAGGTGGAAGACGTACAGAAGCTAGTGAAATCAATGCCCAACAGAGTGCAGACATTGTTGAAGGCGAAAGGAGGATACACCAATTACTAGCCGAGTAGCATAGCATTAATACAAAATGAACAACAAATAAACTGCATTTTTTCATATTTTTTACAATGTTTTCAATGTCATCCCAACAGGGTTCATGTGTCTCGGAGCATAGTAATGTCAATAGTGCCAAAAGTAATGCAACATCCCGAATTCACGTTTTTACTACTGGCTTGTAGATTTAATCACCATGGAAATTGACTTGAGGATAACTACATACTTTATTTAGACTGTGTTGGCACCACATGATGTAAGGTTTTCTTGTTCCCAAGAAAAAGTCAATTTTATATGTTTGCAAAGGGTGTTGCATTACTTTTGGAAGTCACTGGGTGTATGTGTGTGTATATATATATATATATATATATATTCACATATAAATATAAATATATTTGTAATTGATGACAACTTTTACTACCTTAATAAATAACTGCAAGCTACAAAAACATATTTAGAAAAAAATATTGTCCTTCCCTGGTGCTTTGTTTAATCTACATTGATAAAAATCTACATCCAAGTGCTTTGGCTCCCACTAAAGCATCCAATGACACAGCCGGTTCTCAGCTTATCAATTTTTGTATTCCACACAATCCTCGTCCACCTGCACACCATTCATCTACTCTGAACCCCACAACATGCATAATTCTGATGCTAGCCCTGTATTTTTGTGGTATGATCTCAACAGTCTTCCTGGTTTCGGATCACGCAGTTGGGAGCTCTTCCATGAATGTTTTCTAGTTTCATGAGTTGACGAACATTCTTGCGATCTCGCATCCATTTCTCTCCTATTTCTCTCAATACTCGAATCCTGCTGGGCACAACGCAGCACCTGAATGCTAGAAACGAATCCACGCGGATAATAATCCCATCCTGTTGCGCGACTGTTC